AAACTCAAACAAATATGTTAAAAAAACATTTTTGGTAATATAAATTTTTTCTCCAAAAAAAGGAAAAGGTGAGACAATTCAACGAATGATACACGCCTTACATTCAACTTTTGACTTGATGACCTACATGTATAGTAAGATGGTTTGCGTATCAAGACAATTACCCCATACGGACAACCACACACCCCCTCCCTCCTCCGGGAAACAAAGGACAATCAACCACGAGGACAATAACCCCCTGTTCCTAAAATGATTGAGAACTGATTATTTCTTGATTTTTTTTATCTTGTTTTTTTCCCCGCATGGTGTGCTCCAGTGTAAATTGAACAGTTTCAGCCCTTCGGGCTACAGGTTCAGTTTTTTTTTTAATGACAAAAAAACGATTTAGTCAATATTGCTGCGGTTATGTATCTACATTACATGACATCACTCTACATATAATGTTAATGTTAAGGCCAACAAAAAAAGTCGTTTGGTTGTCCTCGATTGCTTTTTTGGAGAAGGGGCGGGCGGGCGGATTATTATTTTTTTAATTGTTAAAATAAATTTTATTGGGATGTCAAGCATTAAATCATACGAAGTCAATAAAACACATCAGTATAGTAAAAGACTAGTTTGATATCATCTTTTTAAAACATATTATGTACAATGAATGTTTGCAAGACTAACACCGAAAGTGTTTTGGCTTTAATGAGTTTAATAATGTCCAAAGCTCTTTGGAGGCGCATAGGAAGGTCAAACAATCTGATATGGGCTATACAGTACCGAATGTTGTTATTATTATTATTATTATTATTATTATTATTATTATCCCTTTTGACTGTCATTGGCATTCATGCTCCAGTAGGGTTGGCAGTTGGCTGGGTTGTCCAGGGAGTATAATGGCCCTAGTACCGTTTTTACCTAATATTTTGTCCACCAAGTGTATACCCTTTTGTCTTTATTCTTCTATTCATTTAAGTCCTACGGCGAAAGATTTTTTTTTTTAAAGAAGAAGAAAAAAAGGGGGAAAAACGGAAGCGAAAATCGTATAAAGCTTCATAGGATAACGAAAGGAACGTACAGACTATAGAAAACATCATCGGATAAAGAAACGTCGTATGATGAATGACATGACAGCTGACCAATCATTAGCGCTCACAGCACCGGTTCAGTATATCATTTAAGAGGGAAAAGAATAAAAACTGACCATAAACAAACAAAAAATTCACCAAATCACCAAAACAGTGTAGGAAGCATATTGTTGAGTATGATGGCTTGAGAAGAGCGGAGGGGGTATATGGGGTGGTTGTCCCGGGCAAGGTGAGAAGTACTTTACAGAGAATCCGGATCTGATGGGTGTCTGATCGTTAGTGGCAGAGCTAGATCAAGGAACTAACGTGCAAATGATGAAACTGTGTCCCAGTCACAACATCTCTGACTTATATGTGACATGTCATCTCACCTTACTTTTAGTCTAGATTAAATGTAGGATCGCGACTAACAAATCGCAATCCAGTTCCAAAGAGTAATTTAAGTCCCACACGTTGGTCAGTGTGCGCCTAAGCACACACTGTAATAGCGTGTATTTTGTGTGTTAATTGCTAATGAGGAAACACATATCAATATAAAATTAAAAAACTGTCTTAAAAGCGGTTATACACGATGTAATTACTTTAGATTCATATAAAACTTAAGGTTTTATTGCATAAAATCTTTTTCAAAGCAATAAAACAATTATAAATGTTATTAATTCAACTAGGTTGAGTTTGTTTACATTATTTTATTCTTACTTAATTTGTTATGACTATAACTAAGAAACAGACAAAAATCTTATTACAATCGATATATACTAAGTTTTGTATCGATTCAACTAGTATTTCAAATATTTATTACCAAAATAAAAATGGAAAAGGAAATTTATATTAAAAAGAAAAGGAAAACTCTTACGACATCTAACAAAGTGAGACAATTCAACTGAATGATACACGCGTTAGAACTAAAATATGTTTTGTACGAAAAAGAATGGGAGTTTTGAGAAATATTATCAATGAATACAAAAAAGAAAAGAAAAGAGTAACATGCATAGAATGGGTGGGGGAGGGGATGGCAGGGAGGAGTTACCCTCCCCCTATATTCACATATGATTATGATTATGTAAAAATAACAGCGATCATTATTGATATCAATTAAGTGATTAAATGTTTTACTATTAGGAATAAAAGAGGTTTGAGATCTACCAGCTAATTTATTTTTTATTTTTTATCAACCCAAATACAATATTAGTAATCTGTTGTAATGACATTTTCTACCTTTACTTTTTCGACTGTATTTTAAGGAGTTGTACCTATGTTCCATATTTTTGCAAAATTTAATTTAACGAAAGAAATTTTACGATTTTATTAATGAAAAAATCCAAATGAGGTCTTCAAATCTAATATTGAATAGTTTTAATTTTTTACGAGTAATTATTTACAGACCATTAATTAATCTAATTTTGTCACTATATAAACTGACTAAAATTATAGACATATAAAAATAAGAAATTTGAGAACTATCTTGAACGATTTTACCTCATATCTGTTTTTAGACTTCATTCAAATGGAGAAAAAAAAACTATGTAATCGATCACAACTCCATTCTACACTGTCGCTATAAAACGTTGGAATATTTTTGTTATACTCAATTTATGAAATTTTTATTTAAAAAAACAAAGAAAATGCAATAAATTATCAATAATTCATTGAATCCCCCCCCCCCGGTCCCCAACAGAAAAAAAAAATCTTCTGTATGCCCATGCCTTGAGCCATAATGCATGATGGCCGTAGAGAGGATTTTTTTATGTTGGGGACCGGGGTAAAATGCAATGAATTATTGATAATTTATTGCATTTTATTGCATTTTATTTTTTTATTTGTGGGAACTGTCCCCTACCCTAGCCCCCGCTGCGTACAGTTATGGTTCAGTGGCACATCAATAGCATCGTAACTGTGAGGCCCCAGGATCAAAACCGTGTCGATATTAGTGCCCTTTGTGGGGCATTATTCCTCATTACTGTCATTTATTACTTAAGGGCACAGGTCCCCTAGTTAATAAGCATATTAACATACACATGCTTTAGCAGTCACGCAAAACAAACACTGCAAATTATTATTCAATAAAATCTGAGAACGTATACTATTATCTAGATCTATTAGGAATAAATCATAGTCAATATAATTCCATAAATTGGGGTAAAAAAAAATATTCCAACGTTATGAGCGACAGTGTAATTACAAAACTTTATTTTGTTCCTGCATAAACTTCCATTTAGGTTAACATTTGTGATTATGATAGTTTCAGCCATCTTTTCTTGTTATGTTATCATATCTTGTCATGGATCATTGTGATGTTATCTTGAAATTGGAATAAATAAAAAGAAACTTAGCAAAAAAATAAAAATATATATATACATAATCTGTGTGTATTGTTACACAATTTAAATGTAACACAGACGCAACATTTTTTTTTTAATGGACCTAAGGTACTTTCAACATCCTTGTGTGTCACCTTGTAAATGCGCAAACATTACGATGACATATCAAAGATTCCAGAGGGCAATTCTACGGGTTGTTGGATGTTAACCTTACAATTCGAATGTGGTATAAGAGGTGGTCTTAAAAAAGAAAATGCATCAGATATATATATTTTTTTTAATACATTTTTTTCTGATCTGAAAACAAAATATCTACAATTTTTAACGATCTTCTTTAAAATTACTTTCATAAGGTCCATTTATAAAATGTTATGCAAACATTGTATGCAAAGTCTCATGGAAAGAAAAGAAGACACTCGGATGATACTTATTTTTTCCCCGGCATCCATTTGAGTCACTTCAAACTTTACTGTTTTTTTTTTTCATTTACTGTTTTCCTGAATCTGTCTTTGCCGAATAAGATAATAATCATTTCCATTATTTCATTTTGCAGCATTGTTCTAAATGAAAATATCATAAGGTAGTAGTCTCTCGTTCTGGAACAGACAGCACTCAGTTTTGCTGAAAATCAAGGGCACACATAATTATATTTGTATGAAAAAGTTTCTCACTATTAGATTTTATACCTGAGGGTGCGATTCAAATTACTAATACTTGAAATATTTCAGCTTTAACAGTACTCAACCTTTTCTTTATTCAATCATGTTATTCCTTTATTTGTTGATTTATCTTTTCAAGCATTGATTCACATACGTATGCATTTGTTTGTTTATTTATTTGCATGTTTACTTCTTTGTTCATTCATTTATTGTGTTAAATGTACACATAATGTTGCACCTGAATATTTGTCTTCCTTGTTACAATCTTCTCGTCACTCCACATATAATCTTCGCTCAACTACAGACACAACGGCTCTCCATGTATAAAATCGAAGATAGCTGAGCGAAGTTTTCACTACAGTGGTCCGGTTACATGGAATAGGTTATACTTGTGAATTACGCTGTAGTATGTCGATTGAAGTATTTAAGAAACATCTCAAAACACATCTATTTACATTGTAATTAACTGCATTACATTTTCTAGCATATTTTTGTTGAGTTTTAATTCATTGATGTATTTGTTTTGTAAAGCGCTTTGACCAGTTGTAAATTGGATATAGCGCTATAAAAGAAACAATTTATTATCCATTCGTTGACTTTTCGTCCAGTAATCAATTTATTTATTAATAAATGAATTCATTTATTTGTTTGTTTATTCATCTATCATGTATTTACTCATTAAATATTAATATATTTATCTATTTATATATATATATGTATTTCTATTTATCTATTTAATTAAATTTAGCTCTTTGAGTATTTGTTATATTTATTAAATCAATAATTCATAAATAATAATTATTATACATTATTTTTTAATTTTGTTTATTGTTTGTTAATTCATAATTCATTCATTCATTCATTTACTTATAATAATACATTTATTCATATATTTATATCTATTTGTTCTTTCATGATTTAAAAAAACAGTTGTTATATAGGCCTACCTCATCATTGATGATTCGCCATTTTTCCTCTATGCTGAGGCCATCCATGCGCAGGATCTGATCGGGTCCACTCTGCATGTTGCTCTGTAATGATAAAATATATATTTAAAAAAAACATCGAAATAAATAGAAGTACGTCTAAAAATGACGATGTTGATGATAATAGATGTAATAATAAGAATAACAACAGCAACAATACTAATAATTATTGTGATATTAATAATGATAATAATAATTATAACAATGATAATAATAATAACAATGATGATAATGATAATGGGAATAATTGACTGGCTAATCAAGTCGTGATTTTAAGTGTTCATTGTTTGTTTTATTAGTGATTTATTTTATGTTGTATAATGATTTATTATACATATGAAAAGAAATAAAACATTAAACGAGAAAGGAAAATAGGTACTAAACCTTCAAAAAGCAAAACAAACGAGGAAAAAAACGACAAAAACTCATCAATGCCCCCTCACACCACCTCTCCCCCGGATCCGCAGGTGGTTCGATTACCGTGTTAAAAAATAAAATCAAGATTGTTATCTTTCACATCACCATTGTGTATTTACTAGGGTAAAATAATTACAACATGAAATTAACAGATTATCGTGTTTATGCTTTGCAGCAAAAACAACGTCTGCATTCTACAGTTTGTCGTTTTGCTTCTCTGTAACCTTGACCTTATATATCCTCGATACATTTCTCAAATTTAATTAACAATGTTTCTCGAGTGATTGCACACGGCGACAAAATCGACCAGACTCTGACGAGGTGACACAGCTCTGATGGGTGTGGTGTACTGTATAGACTTGCGTGCCAGGCTATACGGCCGAGTAAAATGTATTCCTAGTTTCTTGTCAGCACTTCTCGAAAATGAAGGAAGAGAAGGAAAAGAGGGTTCTATTTTTCCAGTACATACAAATACTATTGGGTCCATTTTAACACAAATTTTCCGAATTGAAATTTTAATTGCAAATCCACTTCAGATGCTCAAAGCCAAATGGAGTGTGTGTGCTTTTTAGTGAGACGAGTCAATTTCTACAATTTTGAAGTTTTCAAAAGCTCACGGTAAAGGCTTACATAAATTAATCACCCTTTCCCATTTGCGACGGAAGAGTTTCTTTCTCAATGAAATGATGTGATCAGTACTCAATTTAGCATGGTTATCTTCAAGATCTGTGTAAACAAACCTTCTTTTTTTCTTCAAATTAAAATAAAGAATAACTACATACGTCATTGGAAACCGACGTCAGAATTGCGGTTGGAAGAAATCGCAGTACCATCTCCTCCTTCACCATCTTGCGTAGTTTGCATCAAAAAGGGCTAACATCATTAAAGATATATATATATATATATATATATATATATATATATATATTTCCAAATACCGTTTTTATCTAGAGAGATTGCAAAGTAGAATGAACCGCTGTGCAAATGATTAATATAATTACCTCTATTGATTCAAAAAGCAATCATCCAGTATACTACCTAATAATATTAAGCTTTTTTTTTAGTCGACCGTTATTCAGAGGAGCGTGGATAGGATAAAGCGATATCATACGTTAGTCAAAGGGAAAGAAAAGAGGATAGAGAGGTAGAGAGGTAGAGAGAGGGAGAGTGAGAGAGAGAGAGAGAGTGAGAGAGAGAGCGAGAGAGAGGCAGAGAGACAGAGATAGTGAGTGAGAAAGACAGAGAGAGAATGAGAGAGAAGATTGCTATTTACGTCAGACCAACACCAGACTGAACACACATTACATTACCCCGAATAGATTAAAAAACGGTCGGTTTGGTGTAGGTCTGGAGTCTGCGTTGAGACGTGACTGAAGGATCAATACACTGAAGTTCAAGCTCATTGCTCAGCCACACCACCCAACTGATAAACACCGACTCCTAACCGATCGCCGCAACACCAGTCGGGTTTTTAAAGGTTATTTGTTTGGTTTGTTGTCGATCTCGTTAGTGTGGCAGATACCTGCGTCACACAACCAAACCGATTCAAGTCGACTCTAAAACCAACGCCAGTTGGGGGGAGGGGGGGGGGGGGGGTTATTGAATAGTTCGTTCGGTCTGTTCCTTTCAAAAGTACTTTCATAAGTTGACATTTAAATCAGGCAGATAGTTATTACATTTATTTGAAACCTTAATATTTATTAGTTGAAATAATAATAATAAATCAAAATAAGTACTGATTAACATTTGAATAGCGCTTAATTTATCTATTGTTTCTAAGCGCTGATATACTACAATTAATTGGAGAAAACTAACAAAATAAACTGATAATAGGAATATACATACGGAAATGCAAATGTATGACAAACATATAAAGTGGATTGTACATAGACAAAACTACAAATTTAAAACTATATAAATATAGGAAAACAATGTTGGCACCTCTATATCTTAAATTTAGTAATTTAAATACATTTATTCCATAAAACTGAAGGTTTTCATTCAAAGTTCGGATGGGCATGGATGAAAATAGGTTCGTAATCCTACAGTTGTACGGAATCCAAGCTACGATATAAAGTCAAATGATACAGGGAGGGTGGGGGGGGGGGGGGGGGTGGCGCAAATCTGCCGAGCCGTCTGTAACGTAACAAGGTTAAAGAGGAATATTGCATAAATCTTTTTTTCCAGTTTACTATGCCGAGACTCGCCCGTCTCGACCGAAAGGTTAATTAAAGGTTATGATGAAAGACTGTATTGTCATAATCATAAGCTAGACTATAGTCATGATAATACGCCAGACAAGAATAACAGTATTATTGTGACGTCAGGTGACTTAGCATGCAATTTAAAGCAAGGCAGTATATATAAGCATGTTAATATATTTAGTGTCTTATTACCATTATGATTGTTTTTTTTTCTTTCTTTGGTTTAGTAACTTTAGTAAATTTCAAATGTGATTCCCCCAAATTAAAATCAGCTATTCTCCATTTTTGTAAATTCATAATTCAAAGTGTAAAACCACACACTGCTGCAGCTAGGTATCGTAATGAGAAAATTAACTTTCAAATAGAGGTTTCTTAATCTTGAGCTTCACATATCTTTACATATACAAGCTCTGTTTGCGCAAAGTCGGTCAGTTTTCATGGTGTTGGTTGTACACATTGACATACATACATACATTCTTAAACAACTAAAATGCTAATTCGCCATTTAAAAGGGACTGAATAGAGATGAACACTTTCTCAAACAGTCAGATTAACACTTTGAACATGCTGGATCAAACAAAAGGTTAAATCGTTCCTCGACCCTTTTAAATGGTGATTACCATTTTAGTTTTTAGAGTTAACTGATTGGCTTCATAGGATGAAAACAGGTTTCCTGGATAAGACGTTAGGATATGTTTTCGTTGAACCCCTGACCTCTGACCTTCACCGATTTTAATGAAAACTTCAGCTGCATGGTTTACGACGAAAACTTCAGCTGTATAACCTACAGGTTTTATTATCGATTTGATAGGGCAGTGGAATTTATGCCATGACTCAGTATTAAGAGTGGAACGCCCTATGGTCAAAGTTGAATATTCTTGGGGGTAACGCCTCACACAAATTGTTGCTAATGTTAGGTGCTTTTTGTTCGTCTAATATTTATAAACCTTTCACATCTTTAATACCAAATAAAAATACACAATACGCACAAACAAACTAACAAACAACATGAACACGAGGAAAATATAGATAACATGGGCACCCGTGGGTTGTTATGAAGAGACGTGACACCCCACCCCACCCCAATTAAAAATGATAACATACTTCAGCAAAGTGACAGTTTCGTTTTTCTTGTTCCATCTCAGTCTCTCTATCTTGAACTCGAACAACTTAACTTTGTCTTCTTCTTCGTTCCTAACAAAGCATGTAAAGTTTTAAATGTTCTTTTACCACGTTTACACTATTTCCTGTAAAAAAAATGACACAATCACAATAACAAAACGGTCCACAACGTTGTCCCAGAGCAAAGGCTTGCATCCTTGAATACCCTTGCACTATTCACCTTATTGATCGAAGGTCTATTAGGGTGTGAGCGTCTTTTGTTTCCAGAAAGTGTGCATTGTTAACCACCGATTACTGCGTGTTCGAATCCGTGATTCAGATTCAAGCGAACAAAAGAATGCTTTGAACTGAATCCGAAGATCAATAGAATACAATGAACGAGGTCAATACATTGCTAGTTGATAGTGAGGTACAATAGATGAGGATATTGAAGAACATATGAGAAGGAAAGGGAATGCGAAAAGTCCATGTACACTCTTCAAAGGGCTCCACAGTCATATATATGCGCACCTTTTGATTATTAAAGGGGGTATGTGATGGACATTTTAGGACCTGTATGTGAATGCACATTACCCTGTTTATAGATTTATAATGGGGGGGGGGGGGGAGGGGCGCTGATTAAAAAGAAATGGGAGAGGGGTGGCATGAACATTGGATTCTTGCTTGTTAATAGCGAGCACTGGATATCAGTAGAGCCTGATAGACTAAATACCAAAATTATGTCATTAGGTAATGATGTTAAGAGAGCTACATGTATAATGGGAGGGGGGGGGGGCTGATTAAAACAAATAATTGGCATATGAGCACTGAAATCTTGCAGGTGTTGAGCCTCATAGACTTAAGATCAGATGAGAAATTTCGTTGCCGGTAATTATGCTGTCTGTATTACGTTTACAGAGTGTTCAAGAAAAAAAAACGATTACAGTATTTAAATGGGTTTGAGTCCACAACTTAATGAAACTACAACATAATCCGATTATACAAAGTCCGATATAATGGTTGTTAAGATACAATGTTCTATTGTTTAATACCTGCACATTTCACCTGGAAAACGAAGGAAAAAGGCACAAAACTTTTCTATTTCGGACAATACAAATACGAAATTTAAAACAAAGCATTGATTCTATTGCTTTAGTCCCGCAATTTAGACTCGAATATAATGATTTATTCATTTGTCTGTATGTCCATTCTTCTGTTCTTATTTGTTCAGCTCTCTAACTTCATTCAGCGTGAAATGGGATGATACTTGACATGGAGGGACAAAAGGTCCCTCCTTCCTTTATCTCCAACATATACAACCACTCAGTTCTAGAATACACGACAAGTTAAATCCTGTACTATAGACCCATACAAAGTCCGAATGTTAACGAGTGACGTAAACAATAGAGTGCATGGACAGTGTATACACTCCACACTCAATATTTAACTCTATGGATTGAGATGCCATTTAATATTTGATTGTGAACTGGTTCTATATTTAAAGAGCGATTCGCATTGCCGAACCTCGAGTGTAAACAATGCGTCTCCAATTTCTTTTTTTATCCATCACGAATCTCCTTACTGTAGGAGGAACATGTACACAATGGCTGAAAGGGGTTCCCCGGCGATCAAAGAAGTTGGTAAATAATTATATAAGGGGGCATTCAATGCTCCTTTTTGTTGGATTATGAGTCGAAATTTGCTAGAGATTTCGCATGTCATCGTATGTTTAAGATAGCACGTAGAGATGAAGATACCGAGTGACCTTGCTCACGCAAAAGAAAGAAGAAAAAAAAAAGGGGGGGGGGGTTACTCGAGGCTGACTGCTTAGAATACATGTGTGTGCTCAACAGTAAGCAACCAGGGGACCGATGGCTTGAAGTCCTCTCCGAGGGACTGCAGATTAATGCCTTACCACATGGGCACTAGCGCATCAACTTGGTTTCGAGCCAGGGACCTCCCGGTTACGAGACAACTGCTCTACATTTGAGCCATCGCGCCTCAGTTCTTGTATTCTTTTCAGGGGTAGGGTATGTGGACTTTATTTTCATATTTTTTAAAAATTAAGTTTCTCTTTGTCCTGCTGCAAATACTTTGATCTGAGTTTCCTCTTTCAGAAGTAACATAACTGCCGTGTATATCATTAGAGTTTACGAGACAAATTCCTATACCAACACTCTATATAATTTCACTTGAATTTGTGTTTGTGGAATTAATTTACAGTGATCTTACCTTCAGCCGTGTAAACCGACGCTCTATAACCTCTGGCCTGGGTTGAGGCCGTATATCTGTGGATTTAAACAAATGTGAAACAAAGATTAATCACAAAAAAGAAGAAACATTAAGAAGAAGAATAATACAATAAATATGGTGAGTTATAAATTGTTGCCAATAAAAAAAAATACACAATGGAAATGACCTTTCAAGTTCGAACGATGAATTCCAAAAGAATCACACTTTCCTGTGGCAGCTAGCTACCCCAAGAATATTTTTTACCAATATATTATTTTATGTGTTTCATGACCAGATAAAATTTGGAACACTGCCTTGTGAATGAGGAGAACATGTGATTGTAATGGATGGGGGTGAGAATACATAAGGTGGGCTGTATATACAGGAGATTGGGTAATATTAGCACAAACTTTACCCTCAGTCTACAATCAAGGACAACCATCTGCTAAGACATTACATGATTAATCAATGAAAGTAAACCACGCCCGGATTGTTTCACCCTGGAGAACTGCCCAAGGACAATTACCCTCGTTGAGATATAACTAATAAAAATAAAGTAATCTTGTCATGAAGATGTGCCTTCTGTTGAAGGAACGCAAAGCAATATATTATTTTTAATCAAGAATATTTCAACAAGTCTTAATTACAAAAAACTATCTAATTAATCGTTTTGAAAATACGAATGAATATTATTGTTTCTATTTCATTCACTTCACCATTTTCATATTTTGCTTCAATCGGCTCTACAATGGAAGAGTTAATTAATCACACTCCATTTACAGTGTAAATTTGCACATTTCTCGAGCAAACCTGGAAACACCTAATTTTAGGAGTACACGCAGAGAAAATGTTACAAAACGTATGACATTATGCATGAAAAACTGGATCCAGAGATTGATATGTTTACAGTGGAAATATGTCTGTCGCAGGCTACTGACGTCACAGCCCGGCATCGAGGTGTGAATTAACAATTTGCTCAGTCGTTGAGTTATGCTTATAAATCTCGGAGATTAATGAAATACATAAACATTCACAACACATTATTTTTTCTCTATCAAAGCTAAATTCGCAAGACTAAGCAACTGACACCACTTCAATTTGATGCACTTACAATGATAATCAGACAGTTTTCGTGACAACTTCTAGGTCCCTTTTGATAACATAAGCTTGCTAAAGGCATTCAGGCTCTAAAAATAGCCAGATTATTGTGAGCGAATTATTCACTTTAAATAATTAAGACTCGAGAGTGTGGAAACAACTAAACCTCAGTCACACCGACTCTCGGCGATTCTCGGGGAAATGTAATATTTCGTTCGATTTGTTGTCGATCTCGATGGTGTGAATGGCTGTTGTTAAACAAAGATCAGAAATGGGTGCACTATTATTGCAGTGAGAATTGGGTTAGAATAAAAAGCAAAAGAACAAGAGTACCAAGTGAGGGAGGGTGGGATGGGAACGTTTTATTTTGGCGTTTGCTTTTCCTCTTTCTTTTCTTCTTTTATTTATTATTTGAAGTTCCTTTTTTTTTCCCCTCTCTCTCTTTCTCTTTCTCTCTCTCTCTCTCTCTCTTTTAATGTTGCCATTATTTTGACGGGGATGTGCACTGTGCTCCTGTACACATCTACTCAAAACAGACACGATATATCAAAACCTCTTTGCTGAGGTTAAGAAATCACAGCCATGTAATTAGACTAACTAGATTAACTTCTGATTGAAGTGCATTGCAAATAACAACGGATAACCAGATATAAACCCCACACTTTATTTACCATACATTAGTAAAGGTAAACAACATTGTCAGCCAAGGCTGTGAATTTTTGGATTTAATTTATGTTTGTAGCTGCCATCTGTCAATACAGTCTCAGGTTTAATTTTTACTCTTATTAGATGTGGAATAAAAAAAAAAATGAAATCATCGAAAATCCGTTTTCCCCTTTTTGTCGGTTTGGTGTATCCCTGACGCTACTGTTTAGATTTTCAGCATATATCTGAGAATCTCTTTTTCCCCGGAACAAGTGTAAGTTTGGAAGGTAAAGGTCATTTAGAATACTAGTATTACATCTTACATCATTTATAGGTGGTATAATCTATTCTTTCTGGGTTGAGTTTTGTGTGTGAGGGGGGAAGGGGGGGGGTGCAAATCTGGACATGATTTCATTTTGAAATTTCCACCAACATGGATGCATGTAACCCACTCATGACATGTAGGCCTTTAATGTTATACAAATGGAGATCTACATCAGACGCCTGAGCTGTGACAACCAACTGTATACATGTTTATTACTCCAATAACAAGCATAATTCTGGATTGTGTAATGCCAATTCATGCAATAATTTAAGTAGACAGTTAAAACAGATCACATACATGCACCCCCTCATTCTAAAAAAAGAATGAAACGCCGATAATACCAAACGGCAACAACAACCCCCTCGATCTCACTCCCCCTCCCCCTCCCCCTCCCCTCCTCTCTCTCTCTCTCTCTCCCTCTCTCTCCGAGTCGACCTTTCTGTCTGTATTTTTATCTCTCTCTAAAATGTAATATACATTTTCATGACAATTGTGCGATGTACAACTGTATACGATGTGCTGTTACATCACCATCAGCATATTACTACACGATCGTATGGACATCACTCTGTACGATATTGCACTGTATACAGTATGATCTGAACACGATTCCACCTGTTGCATGTACAGTATAGTGACCCTTACATACATGCCCTAGCTTACCTCTTACGCCTGCCCACACAAATGTCCTGAATTGGCTCTACCAGAAGGAACTATCCAAGGAGAAAGCAACGATGAACCATGCAAGAAATAATGCAGCATTGCTAAAAGCGTTGTCACATATCCTCTCAGGCGCCATATAATTTAAATATACATACACGACATTCGCGTGCACCACACTAGCGTATGGAAGTCAATATATAGCCATCAATACATGTTGAAATCTGTTGAATGCAATTATACAGTGCTTTTCCAGCGTGAACTCATGGTCGACGGCACTCGAAGTCATGCACAATGGAAATGAATTGACGGAATTTAAAAGAGGAATAAGAATAGGTAAACAAACAATTTACACGCTGGATATCTTACCATTTGCTTTTTTTCTTCAACGATGAGCTGAAGGAGTCAACTACATGCCTCATTAAGCAGTTTGTATATGAGGTCGCGAGCCAATGTGACATAAGCAACATTATAGAGACGGGAGAAAGAACTCGAGACAGAGAGAAACAGAGAGAGAGAGAGAGAGAAAGAGAGAGAGAGATGGGGAAGAGAGAGAGAGACAGAGACAGACAGACATACACAGAGAGATATAGAAAGAGAGAGAGACAGAGAGAAAGACAGACAGACACAGAGAGAGATAGATAGAAAGAGAGAGAGAGAAAGACACATAGAGAGAGAGTAAGACAGAAATGAAAAGAGAGAGAGAGAGAGAGAGAGAGAGAGAGATGAAAAGCTGCGCCAAAATCGCTTCGAATAGATTCCATACGCATTATCGTCTAGAAATTCTATTACTAGGTACGTTCACGTTGTATGTCTTATTGTTATAACTGATGGGTGGAAATCGGATTAGTTGAAGGGGAAATGAAAAGGTTACAGGTCCTTTTTTTGTGTGATTGACGTAATAAAAATACCGAAAGGAATTCCGGAAAGGGGTAAAGCCCATATAGGTGTGGTGGGGCTAGAATAATTGTGTATCGTGTATTACCCCCCCCCCCCCATTCTTATAATGTTAACAATAACATGGTTTTCAATGACAAAAGTATGGTATCACTGATGTATTATTAGTACTATTGCAATTTTCTGTAATTATTACGCAAAAATGTAGTCAAATTATAATTTATTTTACTTCTGCTATAGTTATGGTTGAAAGATATCAGTGTCTTGTCGCATTAAATATTTTGTTATTATGTTACAGTAATTGATTTATTGACGGCACCTCGAATTCTATAAATCAAATTGACATTGTTATAATTATTATAATTAGTAGTAGTAGTAGTAGTAGTAGTAGTATATGTTGACGTATTAGTATTAGTAGTAGTAGTTGTTGTAATATTGTCATTGTTATTATAAATATTACTATTATTATTTGTATTATTGTTATTATTATCATCATTATTAGCATCATCGTTGTTATCATTATTATAATTATTATCATCATTATTATAATTATTATTATCATCCTTATTATTGTTATTCATATTAATATTAGTGTTATCATTACTATGATTATGATTATTATTATAATTCTGGTGAAACCTCTGTATTTTAGTGCACTATTAGCTGTATTAAAAACAAAAGTTGTAATAAACTTGTGTCAGTTGTTTTCTGTAAGCCTATATATATAAAGAGTTCATCAATGTAGATAACAAACCCACGTCAATTGAATCTTTTGATACATGCGTTTTTATTTTTGTGGCCTTGAAATATATGCATGATACGGTACGGCACATCTATTCATGTAGAAGATTTTAACAACATTAAATACATGTACTTGTATAATGGATAAATTAGTGTTAATGTTTGCTTACAACCTTAATGGCCGTGGTGGTATAATTTAGATTGTTCTGATAGTTGTATGAGAGGTAAATTTGATAATGACTATAACGGTGATGACGAAGGTGAATATGATATTGATACTAATGACAATAGAGTCATATGACTATGCTTTTGTATGTGACGGCGATAATAATAGTAATGATAGTGGGTTCTTGTATAGCACTCATGTCTGTCAGACTTGACACTCCTAGCGCTCCGCAATGATGATAATTATGTTGATTTTTATATTAAGAGGATAAAGGTGAATATTATGAATAAAATGGCGTAATGGCGATTGTGTTAGTATTACTTTCACGTACTATGTGTACATAATGCACTACAAACATGCTCAATGTGTCTCTAAGTAAGTTTGTTCATTATCATCCATCATAACCATGCCTATATCCATTAACGTCAAATCCTCTCCCATTCAACCGAGGCTAATTATTATTATTATACTGATAATCACAAGTGTTGAGTAACGTTCACAATAACCTTTAACAGAGTCTACCC